CGAGCGTTTGTTCTGTCTCCATCACTTCAGCTAACATCACAATACTGGGGCGATCCAAGGCCTTCATTATTTTGACTTCATAGAGCAGTCTCTGGTACCTGGAGGAGCTCTGCTGAGTCTCGTTAATGATCTTGACCCCACTTCTTACACCGACTTCAGAGTGGTAGAGAAGCAGACCTTGACTGCGATTCCTTTTTCTCTCTCTCTCCTATCTCAGAGAGCAGCTCTGCAACTGACCCGACTTCTCTCATTGCTGAGGTCACGATGGCCTTTGACATCTAAGTACTTTTAGTATACAAATACTTCAAATAAACTTGTCGAAGTGTCTGTCCCACAGGACGCGGGAAGTCAGGGTCCCCTTTCGGTACCCAGAGGGTCCTTTGCAAAGCAGGCTGGGGAGCTGGCGTTCCCCGCATCCAGTCTTCCCTCTGCGTGTTGCCCCTTGCTCGTGAAGTCCTTGAGCCTTTCCCTCCACCCTGTAACATCCCTCCACTAAATAAATCCCCTCATTTTTCAACTACCACTGACATAAGCTTGTGTGGCATGTATAACAGACTTTTACGGAACGTTTTGAGCTAAAAAAGGCCATGTGGCTCCCAGGCCAGCAGACAACTTCTTAGAGATGAAGACTAGTCATTTCTGTTCCTGTAAGCTCCCTCCCATCCCAGTTAGTGCTGTCATTGTCCTTGTCACAAGGTCCCAGCTCACCATGATGTAGCTTTGCGATTTTGCCCCTTGTCCTTCCACTCCCTTTCTTCATTTCTCTTGCTCCTTAACCCCAAACCCCCAAATATCTGTTTGTATCTTGTGCTGAGAAATTTTGTTATCTTTTAGACCAGATCATACCCAGAGAACCTTATCATAACCAGACACACCCAATGACACTATTTAAATATAGTTCTTTCCCTGAGAAGGTCAGCTCTTTGCTGAGTCTTTTTGCCTGCTCACCTGAAGTCATCAAATTCATGTGTATCTGGGTACTTACCAACCTTGTTTAGCTAATAATTGAAAGGATGGAGAGGTTCTTCCTTCATACCTGAGCAACTACATAGAAGGTAGAGATGAGCAGGGCGGGTTGACAAATGAAACCGTTCAGCCAGAGAATGCGTGAACGAAACCACTATGTCCAACTGCTTACAATATATGAATAGTAGAGAAAACTAACCCTGCTTTATGTACCAGCTACTTTCAAATACTCTAGCCCAAACGGTAAACCCCTAAGGTATATATTATTATTCTCTTTTTATGATAAAACTGAGCATCTACATAGCTAGTGTACTGGATTTCAGATTTCCCAGTATGAGTCAGGTGTGCAGAAATGTGACTTTATTCCTCTATAACTGAACTCAGATTTCTCCTGAGCTCCTATTTCTGCAGAACACACTGAATATTTCCAGTGAAAAGTAGTTCGGTCACTTCTAGTTTAAATTTAGTCTCTTTCGGTATAAATATTAAAAGAGGTTTTGGATTCTTCTTTCCCCTTCCTTTCTGTTGCTCTAGCGAGTCCCATTGTATGGATGCCACTTTGGTCATTTTTGACTTCCCAGAGGTACCTCCTGGCCAGGGCTTTCGCACGGTCCTCCAAGCCTGTGCCCATTACTGAAGTGCCCCTGTTGGTTTTAATTCCTGCCTAGTTTCCCAGCAAAATAAGGCGTGTGGTTCTGCACTTCCTTGGTGCCACCTGGGGTCTCACTGCTGGTGGCCAAGGGTCAGCCATGTCCTCCACATGCTCCTCCTCTTTTGGGATCTTCCATCCATAGCCCTGCAAAGAGGTCCTCTCTTCCCAATATCCTGAAGAAGATGTTGATTCTTGTGTGTCAAGAGTTGCGAGGACATTTATATGTATCTACATGCCCACGTTGGAGCCAAGGAAGTGTGGAGAAATAGAGACTATTTCAGGAATACATTTCTAAGAGGAACTATGAGGCAAATTCCATTTTCTGATTAAGTAGCTTCCAAAGTGAGTCAAGGAAAAGTAAAGCAGAGCAGCTTCAAAATTTCCTTGCTCAACAATAAAATTTATTCAAAAGGTCAGTATTATAATCAGACACTGTCAGGCATCAGTTGTGTACTTTCTGAAATTTTAATCACACAGACAAAATCTTTACTGGTTAGGAAAAATTTAAAATTTTTAAGGCACTCTTAGAGATATTACTTGACCTAATACAGATATCTTATGTCTTTAAAAACTTTTAATGAACACATACTTTCATTTTTCCTGAACTGGTGTACGTGTACAAAGTTTGCTCAACACTTACGAGGTTGTTTCAGTAACCTGGACTACTAGCCTAGAATGATCACAGGAAAAATAGAAAAGAAAAAATGTATAAGTATAGGTTGCTATGGAAGGTGCTGGGCTTTAAATGTCTATGGGAACAATATGTTATAGATCACTAGCCAAATCTTTTACCTATTTATTTAACTAAAGGTGTGGCATAAAGACAAACTTTACTTATTATTAGAAACCAAGTACTTGGTGTTGATCACTCTATTCAACTTTAGATGCTTCTTTTTAACTAAAGAAAAATATCTTATATGTCTTTTCTATTTTATAGCCATTTTATACACTTGAATTCTCCACTATTTGCTTCCATATAAGTTTGGACCATACTTGGCATTTTGCATAAACTTCAAGATGTGTTCCACAGCCTGTATGGAAGAAATTGCAAGCTTTGATGCAATGGTTTATGTATAGAACTTGGGTTTAATCATTGAGAACCTCTCTAAGATTTAATTTTATAATTTCTGAGATGTGCCCTTGTAGTCTCTTAAATAGTAAGGAGGATATTTGAGAAGTATGTATTGTTTGGGTGAGATTAAGACGGGGTATGGACCACGGATTTTTTTTGGTTTTTGTTTGTTCGTTACTTTTGTTTTAGTTACCCATCATTGCTTCAGGACCTGTTTCTTTAAACTTCGGAACTTGATAATCCCCAACAAGCATTAGGCATCCTATCCCCTAACTCAGCAGTGGGCAGTGGGTATTTCATTTTCAAAGTCACAGAGCATGAGAGACAAATAGCAGTATTTGTATTGCACCAAGTGTCAGCAGGCCTTTCTAGATCATTATGGTAATGTCTTTTCTCCCTAAATAATTTTTACAAATGTACTAATGAAGACAGATTTCTGTTATCTGTCTTCTATGGGTCATAAGTTGAACTAGCACTATATTTTTTCCTGAAAATATGCAAAGTTGTGACATGGTATTTAATAGGTTTAAGCTTATTGCTGCCAAAATGAACACAGCTGTAAGAAATGATGACCCTCTCATCTTTATGACAATAAAATGGCTTCCTAATGTGTTTCCCTAACTCTGAACATTAAGTTACCAATACCCTGGATTTCTGACTCCCAAGAAGAATACAGTTTTTTGACCAAACGACAGAACATAGAGGATGAAATTAGTTGCATTAAATTAGAATATGACAAGAAGCCTTTGAAAATCTTTGTCATATTGTAACATTCATGCAACATTAAACAAAATAGAGTAAAAGTAGACCGAGGAAGAGAGTTAATATATTGAACAGAAATTTTGTAAACTAGATCACCTGCAAATTTTGAAAGGGTTATTGATTGATAGCCTGTGTGCTATGGCAGTTGCTAACTTGGAGATTTTACTCTACAATCATATGTGCAAGCTCTTCTTGTTTAATCTTTGGCTATAAAAGTAACTGTTACCATATTGTCTTGGTACACTCGTATTTCTCAAAAAACGGAGTCTGCATTGCTAAAATTTGCATTCAAGAAAATAACAGGAAAAGGAGTGAAGAACAAGATATACATTTCTATGCAATGTTTCTCGTTTCCTTGTTTCTAAGTATATGGATTTAAACAGCAGCATCCCTTTTGTAAATTAGTATAAAGATCAATTGTCTTTTAAAAACAGAAAGCAAAGTTCTGATATATACTTTCTTTATTTCTATCACATCCCAGACTGTTTGTTTTTTAAGTTTAAGTCTCCCATGTTGGGTTGTGGGAAAATAAAAGCTTCTGATAGGGTTAATCTAACTACATAAAAGTCCACGTTGAGTATGATCGTAATCTTGATCTTTGATTAGATCTGAGCTTGTAATATCTTGTGATTAATCAAAATGGGTTGGTCTGCTTGTATTATGTCATCTTCACAGATGGGACAGAGAATCATCAGAGTTCTCTTGAATATTTGTTTTAATCCCTCCTAGGATAAAATGGCTTTGATTTTTTTTTTTTTTACTTTAAATCAGATTGAGTTCACCAAATAAATGGCTAGGAAGAAATTTTGAATTCCAGTTTTGCTAGGAATATAGGTCAAAAAGGAAGAAACTTGTTTTTTAATTAATAGTATTTCAGTGTTTCATTGAACATGCTTCGTATGTTAAAAAAGTCTTATAAAATTTAACAAATATTTCTATTCATTGGTAGTTTGAATAAAAATCTTCATAAAAGAATATAACAAAATATACTTCCTGGAAACGATGTTGATGTTTTTATTGTTCTTAATAACATAAAACATTTTTTCAAGATTACTAATTGCCCATTGAATGTCCACTGTAACTGAAAATTTTAAAAAAAATTTAATTTCTAAGAAAAGATTGTTAATTGATATTTTTCTAATTACATAGTTCCAGTCGAATAGATATCTGATAACAAAGAACTTTATTATGGCCATTAAAACACCTGACATCTAACACCCAGAGCATAGCAAGAACCCTCAGACACAAATATTGACTGAATATATCTGTCATTTCAGCCAGCCATTTGGCCCTTACAATATAAAATTTCTTTACAAAATTACTCACCAAAAGCTCTGAATTGAACTGTCTACCCCAGGGCCACACATACTAGAGGCTCAATAAACACATTTCTATGATTATATAGGAGCCATTGAATAAAACAGTGGAAAAAAAGCTGTGCAGTTCATCCAGTCCACTTCTAGACTGGATTAATAACCCACATGTACGAAAATAAGAATGATGTAATTTATTAAATTTACTTTTTATAATTATTATTTTTTCTTATAGAAGACCTGGCGAGCCTCCATTGATAAAAGGCTGGCTTCCTTACTTTGGACAGGCCCTGAAATTTAAAAAAGATCCCTTAGGCTTCATGAGGACTCTTCAAAAGCAACATGGCGACATTTTCACTCTTCTCCTTGGGGGTAAGCAGCACTTCATACATCATAATTCCTCACTTGTTCTTGAATGTCATTATATTTTTCTCTAGGCAAAATATGGAGTATTTGTATATTATTGTTTTATTTGTAGAGCTAATACCAAGGAAAACTATTTTTGAATATGTAGTTTATTTACTACAAACCCCAACCTCGTAGGGATAAGAAAGGAAGCTGCAGTGTTCTTAGTTCATCCTCTCTAAGGCCCATGCTGTCCAGATGTATCGCTATCTATTGCTACATAACAAAATTCCCACAAATTTAATGACAAAACAACTGGTCTTATGTAGGTCACTTGTGTGGCTTGAGTCACCTGGCTGATTGATCGGGGCTAGATGGTTCACGGTGGCCTTATTACATGTCTGGCTGGACCTCCTTGTCCACATGCTATTTCATCCTCAAGAAGACATCCTTACGTGTCAGCTGGTGTTTTAAGAGAGTAAGAGGAATAGTTGCAAGGCCTCATTACAGAACCTCACTTCCACCACATTCCATCAGTCAGAGCAAGTCACACGCCAGCCTGGATTCAAAGATAGGGATGTAGACTCCACCCTTCCTGAGCAGAGTGGCAGCGTCATATTGCAAAGGAGCACCTATGGGAAGAAAGCAGGAATTTATTGTGGCCGTCTTTGTACACAATCTTCCACATCAGCTTATTATCTGGGCTAGCTATTCTTTTTCTTGGCTTTTGTCTGTCCTGTCTGTGCTCTGAAGGCTGATCTCTACAGACTAGATTGTCCACACTCCTCTGCCCTCTGACTTCCAGTTGGGTGTGCTGGCGAGAGTGCCGGAAAAGGCCGTGTCCCAGCTCTGCATCTCTCACTGAGCTCTGGCAACACAATTCATTCTCAAGATTTCCTGTCCTTCTTAAGGAAATTGAAGACGTCAGGTATGATCGGATCCGCACACACCTACCAAATGTACCATGTCTTTACCACGGCAACACAATTCATTCTCAAGATTTCCTGTCCTTCCTAAGGAAATTGAAGACGTCAGGTATGATCTCACTCAGATCCGCACGCACCTACCAAATGTATCATGTCTTTACCATCTTTTCCCCAATTTCAAAGAATGTTCAAGAAAATCCATTTACCTATCTCCATGACCTTTACTTCCTGCTTCCTCTGGGTTGGCATTTTATTATTTATTCCTTCCACACATGTATCTTCATTGTTTTTCTCTCACAGGTCTTTATCTTTAGTTTATAACAATGCTTAAGCTTCTCCTGTACTCAACTTCTAGTTACTTTTCACTTCTTTTTTTTTCCTCTTTAACATTCAAATTTTTCGAGAGTTACCTCTATTTGCTACCTCTGGCTGCTGATCTCCTAGATCCTCCTAACCATGACCAGCCTTCTGCCTTGCTGACGTCAGTAATGGACCCTCACCTGACGAAATCTCTCCACCTGGTTTGACAATAGCAGTCCTTCATTTCTTCTTGAAACTCTATTTCTTCATTCTCTTGACACTGCACCTTCTGGTTTTATCGATGACTTGGTGCAACCCTCATCTGGGACATCTTTATGCTTGTTTTATTCTTTAGAATAGTATGTTCTATTCATAAAGAATGTTGGTACTTTCTTCTTACTGTAATTACTTTGCTGAGTATCGGAAGCAACGTTTTTTGCGTAGAGTGACTTCGTTTTAGTGCTACCATTTTAATGTAATCTGAAAACAATATGATCTAGCTGAATGAAATTGTCAGCATGGTTGAGTTCTCAAATGAGCGGGAATGCTCCTTCCATCACAACTTTCTCTTTTGCTTGGCAGCTGGGAAGTCTTCTCAAAAAGTAATTGTATGCACTCTGATTCCAGAAAAAGTGAAATGGGAAAAAAAAATCATGCATCTTAGAAAGAGAAAAATCACAGTTTATAGCATAATCCATAATCATTTCCTTTATGTCAGAATGCTGTTCTTCTCTTCTTGAGTCATCGTGAAAAAAATGACTGACATTGACTCATCATCTGAGGCCAGAGTCACATATCACTTCTTCCTAAAAGCCTTCACTGACCATTTCCACTCTCCATGTTATGTTGATTCTTCTTTTCCAGGCTCCAATTACTCCCAATATCACTTCAGTCATAGCATTTAATAAATTGTGAATGTATTGCTAATTCACTTGTCTCTTTCCATTGATTACTTTCTAGCTCCTCTATTACCAACATTTACTCCAGAGCTCAGCACGACTGATTCACAATAAATATTTGATGAGGAATTTCCCAATACCTTAGAGCTGATAAAATACTTACTATAATACAAATAAAGGCTATAAATAGTGAGATTTACACTTCATAATGCAAAACTATATTCTTCACTTTTAAAAAAGTCACTCTTACTTTAAAAAATTAAGCCTTATGTTTTAATGAGCAGATACAACAAATTATTGAATATTTTAGTTCTCCTATTAAATACATTATACAGAAATAACCCAAGTTGATTAAGCAGAAACCTGTGGCAGATTTAAATAATTATATTCACTTTTCAAAAAACAACCAATTTCTGCTGACACTTGATATTTTAGTGTTAGTTACTGAGAAGCTTGCTGAATTTCTAATGTCTAAATAATTTGACCATTGTTGTGTTCTTGAACTTGAGAGTAAACAACCACAGTTGAATATGCGCTACTACGTCTCTTTGGCTTCTTACTAGAGTTTGAAAAAATTCCTGTCAAGATGTACCATTAACATTTATGGTTCTAACGATCAGTTTGCAAAATAGCTCATTTAGAAAATGTGAAGCAAGGAGCAGAGTCTTCTGCCCTTGTCCCATAGTGTGATTTCAGTGAGTATTATGTACTTGCACGATGAGCAAATGATTGTCATCCCTAAAAGTCTCAAGGGACATGGATGTCATCTTAATAAAGAAATTAAAAGGTACATCTTTTCATGAGAAACCACGTAAATTCGTGACCTGTCGCAGAAAATAGTTCTCTAATTGGTTCTGTGTGGTGGTGCAGCGGAGTCATTTTCCCCGGATGTCATCTCAGTGAAGCACTACTGTACGTCATTGTCAACAGCTAGCGAAATCTCCCTAATAGGAGGGAGAGTGTATAACGTAGCCAACCTCATAAAATAAAAAGTTAGTTCATATTTTACTCTTCCAACGAATATTTTCAACTTGAGATTAAAAAAAAAAAAAACTATCAAAAAACCAGCTAACCATGGAGATTAAAGGCTTATAGTTATGGAAAAATTCTTTAAAATTCAAATTTATCTCATATTTGGTGATTAGGCATTTCTATTCCAAATAGTGAAATAGTTGTTCTGAATTCCTATGGATGCATCTCTGTAAAGCACCAAATATCTGAAATGAAAACATCAAAATTCAATTTATAATGATCCAGATGTCAAACTTCTTGTGTATATATGACAACAATGTGAATGACTTAATTTGTTTTTTAACATTTACTGACATACTTTGCATCATGTAGCTTTACCTTCCTGAAAGAAATAGTTTTGAAGGAAGTGAAAAGGCCGGTGACTTAGTAAAGGATCATGTGCAAAATATATAGGAATGCTAGAGTAAATATCTTGAGACCTAGTCAGCTCCTATAAAAAGGAAGAGAATGAAATTATTGGCAATGAAGGCATTAAAAATTTGACCCTATTTCAAATGCAAATTTGCTGCTCCCAAGGATGATGATATATATTCATGTATATATTTTTTGCAGAAATGAGCTGCATTTTGACTTGTATTTTAGACAAATGCAAACTCTGATATTCTTTAAATCAATATTTGATATCAGCTGCTGACAGCAGTCCTTTCTCTTTTGAAAGCCTGGCAAAGGACATAGTTTCTACCTTGTGATCTTTGTGAACTAGGCCACTTGCCTGTTGACACACTTGGCATCATTTACATAAAACCACACCAGAGAAAAAGTTAATTTTGCTCCAAGGATACATGGCCTTCAGAATAACTTTTCAGATTTCCTTTGTTAAGAAATTTAAATCCATTTTATGAATGTATATGTGTTTTCCTAACTGTCTGATTAAAGATTACAAAGAAACTTGGTTTTGCATCTCACATTAGCAGATGGTAGACAGATGGTTTAAATTAATATTAATTTTGGAAAACTTAGCTTAAATTGTTTATACTGAAGATTAAAAGTTGGAAAGCCAGCTAACATCTCCAGGGTTATTAGTACTTCCAAACCCACTCGAAAAGCAAAATCCAAAAAATCAAAAATGTCTACTTTTAAAATAATTTACATCTTACTCAGAAAGTACATAAAACACAATGCCTTGATGTTGAAGAAAATTAAAATAAGAATGAGAAAGAGAAAATACATATCCTGGAATGCGAAGGGCTTTGAAAGCGTGAGAATTTTATCTACAAATAAATTGCTTTAAACTAATCAGTAATGATTTTTAAATCAAAGAGCCTATATGCAACAACTGCTTATTTTAAAAATATATATATTAATAACTGGTTGCAAGCCAGAATCAGCTTTTCAACATTTAGCTTTTATCCTCTTATGTGAAACTAACTATAGAGTTTCTTCCCAAATTCTCACCCCGCAAAAAGAAAAAGAAAGAGAGAATATATGAGTATTTGTAGCTCATGCTGTCACAGCTGAATATAGTGTTGTCTTTCTACTTAAATTTTGATGAATGTAGAAAATTGGCTGGAAAAATTTCAAAATATTCTCTAAAAATCGTGTTTTGCAAACTGAACCTTTTAGCCATTCTCTGAACTTTAGTGACAAATTTAAAATAACCCTAAAGATATTTAGTAAAATCCTTTCATCTAGTGAAAGGAGAAAAGTATGAATCACCACCTGTGAAAATACACAGCTTTGCCTAAAATTGTCTTTTGCAAAATAAGGGAATTGACTCTTTTTTTTTTTTCAATTATTTGTCAGGCAGATGCTGGAAATTTTATTTAATTAAGCTGCTATGGTAAAGCAGGTGTCATAAAATATGCCCAAATCCAGTTGAGTCCTTTTTTTCTTTCCTTGGAGGGAAAATAAATGGAGTTTATTTTGTAAATGCAGCTTTGGGATCTGACCAGAATGAGTAGTCATTTCTAGCTTTACTCTCATTCTTAGATTGACCAGTCTCATTAAGTAAATCAAGGGTAAATGGAGTGAAAAAACTTAAGTCAAATGATTTATTTTTAATTGTGTTTAAAAATTGTAAAACAAAAAGAAAACATTTATTTTGTTTCTAGGATTAGGTTGAAAATTATTCAGAACTTTATCCTAAATTTTATACCAAATCGACTGTAAGTTCTGTGATGCTGTCAGAGTTACCATAAATAACAAGTGAGAAGTTATTCATCTAAGAAAGCTACACACACATACATGCTCACACACAGAGGAACGATGAGGTAAAGAGGAAAGTGTAGACGATCCGACACACTTTACTGTCTAATTATTTATCATTTTTCTGGAAGACAAGAAATAGGCATTAAAGTGTATAGGAGCATCTAAACTTCACGTGTGTTCTTGGAAAGGAAAGCTTTATTGAATGTTGTTAATGAATACTATCTGCGTAATATGTATAATTAGAAAGAGTCTTAAAACAGTACTCTAGTGAGAAAAATCAGCACTGCGTTCAGAAAAGAACAGTGCATGGGCAGTGACTTCTTGCCACTACAAAGGCAGGGTGATCTTGGCCCTTGACCTCTCTTGACTTTCTTCAGCTTTCTCAACTGATAAATGCCTAGGGGGTTGGGATTTGGGGGACGGGGGACTAGGAACTCTCCAAGGTTCCTGCCAATTTTAAGATACAGACCATAGGATGACTGTGTTCCTCAGTGTGCCTCAGTGTGCCTTTATAAGAATCACTTAAGGCCCATGTCAAACAGAGAGACTTGTAGGTCCTACCTCCAAACCTTTTGATGCAGAATGAGGCAGGCATCTGTATTTTTAACCAGCACCCTAAGTCTCTCAATCGGGTAAGGTTGGACAACACTGATATATGAAAAGACCAAATGTCACCACCTCAAAGGACCCTTTCTGATAACACCTGAAAACAGAATGAAGCCGACCGCCTCCCTTACATTGTGTATCACTACGTTCCTCTTGAGATATAAAGATGTAAAGAAAAGAAACGAGATCCAACCAAGTGTCTAGATCTCGATAAATGTTGAATGAATGTATGAATGGTTGCATGGATGAATAAATGGACAGGTTCTAGTTTGGAATCCCATTTCAGTTACAAATCAGAATGTGACCTTGAACATGTTATTGAATCTTCCTGAGTCACTATTTTCTCATCTATAAAAATGAAAATGCTGGTGTTTGTGATTTGTTATTAGCGTTGAACTAGTCATTCATTTGTGAGTAGCTGGTTCATACCATATCGTCATTTATTTTAGTTAAAATTATTGTATCCAATCAAAGCTAAGATGTTATCAAGTATGAAAAAGCCCTTTATGAAGTATAAGTAAATAATCAGTAATAGAATGGCATCTTACCAATTTGATTTGTTCATTTGTTTGCTGTTTGTGTGAAAAAATGTGAGAAGCATTTATGTCAAGGGATTCTGAGAATATTTAAAGGATAATTTAAATATTTAGATACTTTGTTAAAATAAAAATTTGAAGGGTACACTATCTTTTTAATAGTCATTAATTTGGCAGAATATTTCACTTCAAGCTTCTAGAGATTTTCCCATCATCTTCCATTTAAAAAGCAAACATGTAGTGAACCTTTGAATGAAATGAATTTTTACTAAACTTTGCACCTTTCTAGATGTTACCTATTGAAACTTTTCTAATTTCAATTAAAATATTTTCAAATTTTGGGGGTAGGCTGTTTGTTTTGCTACCAAATGAGCTTATGTTCTCATTTCTTTTAGGAAAGTACATAACATTGATTCTGGACCCTTGCCAGTACCAGTTAGTGATAAAAAATCACAAATTAAGCTTTCAAATGTTTACTAAGAAAATAATGAAGAAAGTGTTTTCGATCCAAAAGTTGATGACCAATGATGACCTGAACGATGAGCTTCATGACTGCTATCAGCTTTTACAAGGGAAATCTTTGGATGTTCTCATGGAAAACACTATGCAGAATCTACAACAAGTGTTTGAACCCCAACTATTTAAAAGCACAAATTGGGACATGGCATATCTGTTGACATTCTGCAGCTCAGTAATATTTGAAATTACATTTACAACCATATATGGAAGATTTCTTGCTGGTGATAGGAAAAAATTTATTACTGAACTTCAAGATGATTTTTTTAAATTTGATAACAAATTCCCATACTTAGTATCAGACATACCCATTGAGCTTCTAGGAAATGTCAAGTCTATTCAAAAGAAGCTTATAAAATGCTTGACATCAGAAAACATAGCTAAGATGCAAGAATTGTCAGAAGTTGTTCAAATGAGGCAAGATATTCTGGAGAAATACTATACGTTCAAGGACGCCGAAATAGGAGGTAAGAAACTTCTGAGTGATTACTTGTCTAAAATAGAATAATTTACAATAGACCTTTGAAATAAAAAGACAAAATGGCGACCTTGAAAATTTTTATGCTCTTTCTAATTGGCTAATGATAAAATGTTTTATTCTGAAACAACCCTCTGTGATAATTGATTTTTTTTTTTTTTTTTTGCTGAGGTGTTGAAACAAGATACTTAATGGTGATAATGAGAAAGAGTATAACTAAGCTGCATTTACTCTTCTTAGCTCATCTCCCACCTCCCTACCCTGTCCTCCTCCCCACCACACACACATTACATTTTAAACTATTCTCATTAAGCAGAAAATTAGACTTCAGAAGCCTATTGGTCCTCATTAGCATGCACTGATCCTTGGCTGGGTCTGTGTCCTAACATCTTTTAATTAGCACACTGCAAATCTAATCAGTGTAATAAACGCTATTAATCTTCCTTTTCACTTATTTTCTCCCAGCACATCATTTAGGCTTTCTCTGGGCCTCTGTGGCAAACACTATTCCAACTACGTTCTGGGTGATGTATTACCTTCTACGGCACCCAGAAGCTATGGCAGCGCTGCGTGACGAAATTGACCATTTGCTGCAGTCAACAGGTCAAAAGCGAGGGTCCGGATTTTCCATCCACATCACCAGAGAACAATTGGACAGCCTGGTCTACCTAGGTAATTTATTTGTATATGTTATGAAGAAAAGAAGGTTACTTCTTCGCAAACTCAGTTTATCTCTCAAAGCTGTTTACCAAGAGGTGGAGGACACAGCTGCCTAATTGACATAATAACACCCATTTACATCAATTATAAATTATGTAGTTTATAGCTGTAGATACTCTCATTGCATGTAAACATTAAGGCCTAGGTAATTAACTATGCGAGGTATGCAAAAGGCTAGACCAAAGCTTTGCAATTATTTGAAAAAAAAGTTTCTGCCTATTAAGTCATTTGATTCTGAGCATCTGTTGGTGTGCTAATGCTTTCCAAACACTGCTGCTCTATCTCTACAAGAGAGGTGTTCAGGGTTTGAACAAGAAAGTATTTTAGAAATGCAACTTATGTGTAAAATGTATTTATTCTACCCTAAAATGGTGTCTATATTTTCATGCAGAGATTAGGATGTTTTATACAGCTTGGAGTGTATGATTCTCAAAAATGGAGTACAAGTGATTTCTGCTGATAGTTGATGATTTAAACATGCTTGGGGGTGGGGGAGAAAAAAGGGAGGGAGGAAAAAGAAAAGCCGACAACTACAAATTACTCCTTGTGAAATGTCAAATATTTTAATCCATTGTGCACTGACTCACAAAACATGCATGGTCACTATTTTAAAGACGTTTGAGGTCGGGAGTGACAAAACTGTTTTCCCGTTTTTATACACATCTGTATGCCAGAGACATGAGCTTTTGATGACAGTGGATTGCATTCTCCTTTACTGGTTTTGATAAGACCACCGTCATTACATGATGAATTTGAATTCCCAAAGTGAAATTCCACATCAGCGAGTTATTCTCTGTTCCTTATGTACTGATATTTCATCCCGTGGGATCCTTTACTGTATGATATTCCCAGCCCCTTTGGACAAACACAAGAATAAGTCTTTATATCTTTGTTGCTTTGCTCCTTTGACAATGCAGGCAAGTATTTTAGCCCATGTTGGCCTCAATTTTTATTTTCTAAATATGTTCCAGATTTTTGGTGAGAACTTCTGGGTGCAAAGGCCCTACAGGTCCTGACCACTGGCTGGCCTTAAGAAGAATGGCCCAAGACATTCTTCACACTGGTTAGAATAAAACCCATCAGAGGCAATTCCAAGAAGCTCTCTTTATACTGGCCATTGGCTAGCTCGTTTAGTCAATTAGGAAAAATGTGACACCTTGTAGTTGGCTGTTTTTAGCATATATTATCAAAGTAATTTTACATTTGCTTGGAGAAAGAAAATAATCTCAATATTATTAAAATATAAATATTATTGTATTTTTCTTTTGAGAATTATTGAGGAACAAATGAACAAAATCTGCATGAAATACTTGCCTTTACATGGATACACAGTTTTTTCTGGGTAGGAGATTTATAGTTCCTGTGAAGACCAAGGTTGCATTTTTTATATATTCAAGTAATTTTGATTTCATTTATGAATTAGATGATGTATACTGGGAAGCAGAGCAAATAAACTTCAAGGGATACGTGTTTGTATTCTGCAGGCAGTTATTACTTTTAAAAATTTGGTTGAAATTCATCAACTCTCTTTTTACTCTCAAGTGCTCATTATCGAAAGAAAATATCATTTTAAAATTGTGGTATTAAAGCAGAAAAGTTTTAAATATGTTCGATCAGAAGAAATGGCAAGTTCCAGAGCTATAATTTGGGTCCATTTAAGTCCATAGCTAGAGCTAGGGATTTTCATCCTCGGAGCTCTCGTAAATGTACAGCTCACTTACCAGCGCCTTTATAGCCTTTAGCCATCTAGAAGATGGACCTCTCTTCAGGTTGACCTCAGTTACCAGCAGAGGCCAGATAACCTTCATTATGAGAAGTTAATTTCCAGAAAATAGTGTGCGTTTTAGACTGGTTTTTGCAGAGTGAAGCAAAGTTTTATGTAATTCAGTGATACAGCAGATAACCTCTGCATCTAGTCATAGTTCAACCATATTTCTGTATATCGAAAGATTATGATCTATATGTGCAAAAGCCAAGGTTTATAGAGTTAAATATTTACAGTGCAGCACATGGTGTGAGTGTATGTGCTTCTTCTTCTCTTCTCTTTAAGGAGACAATTCTGTGTATTCTAAGTACAACTTCTTTTTAAGGAGATATCTTGAATTTTTATTATTATAAGAAGAAAGATCATAAGGATGAAATGAAGGGCTGAATGCTGCATTTTTTTTTTAACCAGGACGGAGAAATTTGTTATTGGAACAGCAAAGGGAAAGGAGATATTTTTTTACAGAGATACTGCATGTCAGCATACATTTATTATCTAGCAAGATTGAAAAGGAAAGTTAGAGTGCCATAGAAAAGGGTGTCTTATTCCTCAACAAGAAGTATTTCTCCTGTGTAGAGTGATCATAGAAGACAGAGCCCAATGGAGTGTAGGTGACGCAAATCACAGTGTCTGTCCTACTGACCTTCCTGGCTCAATCCTGCAGGTCTCGATGGTCTCACATTTCTTCTGACATCAATATACACTTGATGTCAGTAAAAGTTTAAATGTGTAACATAGAGTAGGCTTTTAAATCTCAAGCCCAAAGCAGTCGTCTGTTGTAAGAGGTTGTAAGGGATTTAGGCTTTTATCCAATGCTCTCAAAATTCTTTCTTTAAAACCACTCTACCCTTGTCTTTTAAGGAAAAAGATAATTTTATGTTTTTATATGTTTATTATGTAACTTACTATAAGGATTCTGCTTATCATGATATCACTAAAATGTTATGTCAATTTAGCAAGGGTCTCTACAATTAAATTTAAATTTTAAAATAAGTTAGTTAATAAATACAATGAGGTTCAGATACCTGTTACATAGGGCCTAAATCTCAATAGGAGCAGTTGTTGATAGAATGGAAGTTTGAAAAACTCTAAGAGGAAAGGAAGAGATAATACAAGGAGAGGAAGATCTCAAAAGTGAAATTTTGATACAGAGATAGCAAATAATCTTGAGTCCTACTTCTTACTTCAAGTTTTACACGAATAATGGATGTAAATAACTTAATAAAAAAATGAATTCAATGAATGTTATCTGTTGTTATCACTAAAATGATATTTAGCCTCAGTGCCATCCCTACAGTGTTTAATTGTTTTCTTCATTTTCCAGTAGTTGTGAACCAAGCTGGTATCAAATTCCAGTCCGCCCTGTCCCACAGGAGGGCTCTTTCTGAGTAGCACACGTGGAAAGAGCAACTGTGCTGGACTCTAAGAAAGAACATAACACAAAGTGGATTATGACTCCTGAACTGCTTAGGTGAACTGCAGACACCCAATTTTGTTCAGTTACATATCCCCAAAATGAGAAAAGTTGCAAATATGGTCCAAATGAGGGATATTAGAATAAAAGGAGGTGCCGTAAAACTAGCACTCCACAAAATTTGTAATACTTTTTTAAAGAGGAGATCATATATTATAGTAACTCTAGAATTAATAGCTTACAGTGATTCTCCAGCTAAATTCTATAAAAGACTCTAAGTCCATTTTTGTGTGTGTGAGTCGTTGGGGAGGAGGGAGAAACAGAAACGATTAGTTGGAAAAAGTACAGATTCTTTAATAACAAATAATAATAATTATTAGGTAGAGCCCATATTAAATCTATTAATGATTTCAATATTTCGAAGCAGTTTTATGGACTTGTATTGTTTCATATGATCTTCACCAAGATACCAGGGAACTGGGAGAGCTATTATTTTTCTCGTTATTTTGATAGATGAGAAAATTCTCAGGTGCTAAATAACTTGCCTGAGGTCATAGAGGTAAAGGATTTTCTGTCCACACCCAGGCTTTTCCCCTCCGACCTGGCTGATACCAGAATCATCACAGTCCTTTTCCTTTGTCCGAACTGAGAGGAAAGAGGAATTCTTTGTATCTCGATTCAGCTTAGCCAGCCATGTTCTGCACATGGACAAGATCTGAAAATGCAGGCTAGATGATGATAGAGTTAGCTGTATTTTTAATTTCAGGATGAGACATTACAAATAAAAATATTAATAACGATTATTTTACTATGTGGCAGGCACTGTGCTAACTACTTTACATAGATTAGCTTATTTAATCCTCAAGTATTTTTATTTTCATTTAATTATTGGATAACAAGGTTCAGAAAGGTTAGTTAACCACCCCAAATCACACTACTAGATAGTGGCAGAGGCAGAAATTGATGCTAGATTTGTCTAACTTCAGTGCTAGCCCATAACACTGTCGCCTCAGGGAAAAATTCTCTAGAGATGTACCGGAGACCTTGACCACTATTTTTTAGAAGGATGTGTATCACTAATTCTCAAATGCAGTTGGGTATGAGGGTGAGGTTGGAGCTAGAGGTTCACATCAGAATTTTGTGGACAATTTTTTTAAATAAAAACGTTTCATTTTAGAATAGTTTTAGATTTATGGAAAAGTGACAAAGATAATAGAGTCTCCATTTTCCCCTGACACACACAGTTTCCCTTATTATAAACATTTTAGTGTGGTATATTTGGCACAATTGTAGGTGTTATTTTGAAAAAGCTTATTTAATATTATAAAATAATTGTGTATCTAAAAATTAAAAGCATAAACAATTTAGACAACAATAGTAAAGTTTAACGAAATCCTCTCTTCCAGTGGGGATATGTGAGAAGTATAAATTTTACATTATATTAGAAACTTCTAACGGGAGCTCAGGGGAGAGGCACCTCCCACAAAGGGTCCACCAGGAGTCACGTAGTGAGATTTTTGTACATAATAGGAAACATTGGTTAAAAAGTGAAAGACACTGATTGAATGTTTATCAAATTTTCACATCAGCACAAAGCTCAGAGGGTTAGATGATATAATGAATGCCGGAAGCAGAAGTTGAAAGGATCGAAAGAGAAGTTTAATGAGAATGCAGATGATTGTCCTTAGGTCTGAAAATCAACTGCATACGAATAGGATGAGGAAATCAATGTGTGGCTGAGCAGACAAGGGTTCGAAGCAGCAGTTCTCAGCC